ATAAAAATAATAGTAAAATACCAAGTTAAAATGTATTTTATTTTATTTTATTCTGTGTGTTTCAGACAAACACACTTAAAAATGTTACAATCAACAAGGTGAACACAAACGCAGAACACAGACTCAGGAAGAAAGTGGTTAAAAAGGGGGTTTTATAGCCGGCATAATGAACGTAACAGTAGGGACAAATCCAGGGGTTTTAATGCTGAGGAGAGTGGGTTGATGGCAGGGAAGCAAACTAGGTTGGAGGGGTTTGGCTGGCTGGGAGCATGGCAGAAGAACAAACAGGCGGGCAGGCAGGCAGTGATCCTATGACACAGGAAAACACAAGGTAAGTATCCACAAATAAAAAAAAAGGTACACAAGCAAAAATCTAGGTTGAATTCACAATACAACAATGGCCTGAAGTGTGACTGTACCACAGTGGAAGACTCAACGATCTGGCGAGGACTGGAGAGGAGAGACGGTGTTTCACACTGCAGGGTTGACAACTGGATGGCTCTCAGGTGAGCAGCAGGGAGCAGGTGAGCTGAGTGAATGTAATCGGAAACCCAGGAGTGTGAGGGAGTTGCCACGCCCACAGCGAGACAGACAAGGGGAGGGGGAACAGAGTATGAGGAAAAATACAGGGAAACTAGTGACACAGCCAGGGCCGTGGCAAAATGAGGCATAGAATCATGACATATGGGCTCATGACTTCACTATAACTAAAATCCAAACTAATGAAACTAGGACAATAGAGGGTCATTTTTACAGGTAGTAAAATCAAAGCGTAACATCTACCAGACCTGTGTACTCACGTATAAATATGTACATCTGACTCATGACTTGCCAAACATTTTCCAAAAGGCACTCACTCATATTCCACAAGACTCTAAGGACCTTTATCTTTAATATTGTCGGACTTCTCTTTGTCAATCTTGACTGAAATACAGAGGACCATCTCTTTGGAACAACCTTCTTTCATCTCTACAATCATCATCTACATTATCATTATTCAAAAAAACATCCGAAAAGGACTCTAATTTGACTCTAAACACGTCATTGATTCATTTGTCATTTGTTTGTGCCTTTTTTGAATGTTCCACTGGTAGGAGGCCCCGGGGAAGACCCAGAACACGCTGGAGGGATGTTCTGGGAACGCCTTGGGGTCCCCCAGGAGGAGCTGGTAAGTGTTGCTGGGGAGAGGGACGTCTGGGGTGCTTTGCTTGGCCTGCTGCCCCTGCGATCCAGCCCTGGATAAGCGGATGAAAATGGATTGATGGAATCTTCATAAGTCATTTTAGGCTTCTAACCTCTCCTGCACAATGTTTTAAATTTTAATTTCTTTTTCCTGTGTTTTCTATACATGCATGTGCAACTAAACTAAACTAAGTACCAGGTCTAGCACGTCACTGCCCACAGGGGCGGAGCCAGACATTGTAAACATTTGGGGCTCAGCCCAAACCTGAAAGGGGATGTGGGGCCATGCTCTCATTTCAGCAGATATATGAACTAGTTTTCAAGCCATTACAGATGACATAATGCCTAAATATCTGTACATCATTTGGAATAAACATGATAATTGCCAAGGAAAAAAACATCCTGTAGAGACTACATCCTGTGTTGTATCTAATTATTCTCTTCATAATTCTGAAACCATAAAAACAACAAATGTGGAGGATGACTGTTTTCACCTAATTGGCCATTTTAGGAAACAAAAATTGTCTGACGTTACTGTTTTAAGATGCATTTTTGCTACACTATGCTGGAGAAGTGTCAGCAGTATAGTAGGAACCCAATTACAGCACCACAGGAACATTTGTAGTGTCCTTTATATTTTGCTTGTCAAATACAGAATGAGCAGGCAGGGGAAACAACAGCGAGAGTTAATGTCTTTGCGCGGAGGCTTCCAGGACATGGGTTGAGTACTAAGCACTCGGCGTAGCACGCCGAAGCAGAGAGCAGGTGAGTCATTGGTGTCCAGTGGATTCACACTAACAGCAAATAGTTCAAACATGTGCAGCGGTACCGTGAGGAAGCAGACAAGTGGCGAAGTTAGACAAGCGGAGGGTCCGACCAGGGAGCACACGAGAGGAGCCAACACACCTGTGAGGAGCCGACTGTAGGCTGGTTGGAACCAGTAAGGAGTCGAGGAGTCAACGGTGACGATGAGTAGATGCCGTAGCGCATGCACAAAGGCAGAATGTGCAGCCACACGGCGAGATAATCCCCCCCTGCACAGGAAATCACAGGCAGCAGAACAGGTAAACTCACAACGTAGAGCTGACTGGTAGTCTCTCCAAACAGGCAAACAGAAACCAGGAACACAGAAGTAGAGCTCTCAGAGGGCTGAGTGGTTTACCAGGGAGCTGACGGAGCACGAGAGTCAGAGACAGGCGAGGTCAGCAACAAGGAAGCAGTCCAGGAGCACACGTTGGAAAGTCTTGCATGGATATGACAAAGAACAATCTGACAATGTGAGTCTGTGATGCAAGAGTCTTTATAGCGGCAGGGGATGGCTTGAAGAGGTGGGTGTGGTGGACAGGTTATTGGCTGGCAGGTAAGTGTGGCAGAGAGGCGGGGTTAGTGGAAATTTACTGGGTGAATTGAGGAAAAGGCAGGTTGAACTGTGCTGGCGTAGAGTTCACAGAATTAATGTTTAGCTGATATTTAAATCCATCCCATAATAATATGGGCTGTTTTAAGTGTAAATGAACGGTCTCCAATATATGAAGTCAACAGAAGAACATTAACTCAATTATCTTCAGGGAATAGCATAGTAGGATAACCAACATGGGCACGTAATACTATCTGAATGACACAAAGTTGAATGTATTCTAAAAATCTAAAGGTTCGAGACAGTGCTGCGCTCAGACATTTTACAGATCAGGTGCTCAAGCAGACATCTCTTATACAAACATTTTTCTCACGCACAAAAACATATGCACACACAATGTGCACCTACCAGGAGGTTTCGATCTGCCAGCACCAGAGGGTTTATTGTGTTTGAGGCCTAAGAACAAACAATACATTTGTGCACAGTAATGAACAGGGAAATGTCTTGCTTACTTATGTTATGTAATATATGCACCTAGCAGTTGCAACACATATACATTCAATTTCTACATCTAGAAAACAGTGACACACTGCTCACACTTTAATGATCTACAGAGAAAATAACTATCACTATCAACAAATCTTTACACAAGATCACTTTATTCTCTTCCTTTGCTCTTCTCCTCTCCTCATTCTCATCCCCTTCTTTCTTTTTGAAATAGTCCCACACTAATTCTTATAATTATCTTCTAAATAACCTTTAAATATTGTTTAAGAATTCCAGAGAATAGACACATGCAACCCCGCACTCCTCTTCTCCTCCTCTGCACTTTACGCACCACAGCCCCAAACTGCATGTCATTTTTGTTTAAATTAATTATCAGAGATGCAACGTGGGAGACATAAACTTTATTTCATGTTGAGTTTTGGTTTAAAAAGGCGTGCAGAAGAGGGAAAGCAATTTGGCGTTGGTCTCTGCTCGCAGGCAGTTGATGAACCCGAATCTGGCAAAGAGTTGGAGGGAGACGGTGTGATTTTACAACTAGCTTACTTGTTGTTAAACGTCACGGTGGGTTACTGCCTGAGTTAGACTGGCTGTATTGAGATGTTTTAATAGTGGTTTAAGTTCACAATAGTGACAAATAATGCTGAGGCTGAGGGCAAACACTATCGTTACCTGACTGTCCGTGAAGGCACAGGTCAGGGACACATGATGCTGCCCTGCAGGGCGCTTGATTTACATGCCAAAAAGGAAGCTGAAGAGGGAGGGGCAGGGGCTTGACTCAAATGCCGTTGTTGGGCATACAACACTTTTAACTGACAACTGATGCCATGGGCCAAATTCACAAACTAAAGAATGAAATTATTAAAACATGTCTTGCAAAGAATTGCGCAAAGTGTTAATCCAGTCAGGACACGATGTAAACCTAAACTCATATCCCAGCTACATCAGCTAATCTCAGTCCAATCAACTGATGGAGCAGCTGACTGAAGGAGGGGAGTCAGCTGATAGATCACATGATTCCTTTCTATACAACCAATTGGCAAATCTAATTCAGGGCGCCCTGTTTAAACTGCTCTGGCCTGCCTACTGTTGCTGCTTCCTCTACAAGCTGCTTTGCATCCTGCCTCCACCCCAGCTCCTCCTTTTCATGCTGTGTCTGACTTATCAATGTTATTTCTGTTTGTCATTGATGCTGCTCTGTTCTGTTCCCGGGGGGTCTTTGCTGCTGCTCTCCCTGCCTTAAGTGCAACACACACTGCCACTGGCGCGGCGCTGTGGCCGTCAAGTGCCGCCCCCAACACACATTGGCAGCGGCGCGCAGCGGCACCGTCGACACTAAAGTGTATTTCCCGCCCCAGCCCGCTAGGTAAAAGGAAAGAGGAAGAGGAGAAACTTTGAGGCAACAACAACTTGAATTTCACAGGTGAGTTTCTTATCAAAATCGTCTTATTAAAAATTTGAAAAACTTGATAACGTTAAGCATCCGGCCGTGCTGGAAATAGAGCAGTGGGCTGAAGCAGAGCGGCGCGGCGCATCGGCCGGCGCCGATGTGGGTTTGTTCATAGAATATAATGGAGGCGGGCGTTTTGATGCGCGGCGTATGGCGGCGGTGTGTGTTGCACTTTAGGCTTTCTATGTAGGCGCATGGAGGGGCAGACAGGTGTGCTCTCTCTGCCTTAGGCTTTCCTCATTTGCACGTGGAAGGGCAGACAACTGGGTCTCTCTGCCTAAGGCTTTCCATGTAGGCGCATGTCAGGGCAGGGAGGTTTGCCTCTCTGCTTCAAACTTTCCTCATTTGCAAGTGGAAAGGCAGACAGGTGTGCTCTCTCTGCCCAAGGCTTTCCATGTAGGCCGAGGAAAGGCAGAGAAGCCCCAGAACAGAGCCATACCGCCAAATATCATACTGCAAATGGAAATAAAGTTTTCTTGAGTGTTCCTGACTGAACGGCACTTATCCAGACAAAGGGCAAAAGGGCAGGTGCTTGAGCATTACCTGGGGTCTATCTGTGCATGTGCCTGGTTTGGGATTTTGAGAAAACATTCTGGGCTGGAGCCCTAGAAACTACCTTGTTGGACGAGAGGATTGGTACCACTTTCATATCTGTCCATCTGCAAAATTATCAACACTTTTAAAGCTGACAAATTTACTCATTATATTTTATTTGTTTGATTTGTTCTTAACAACACAAAATAATGTTTAACAACAATAAAGCAGGTGCTGGTATAGTTCACAACAGATGGCCTGTTCTCTTATTTGAACTCCCATCTCTCAAAGCAGCAGTCCCACAGAACATTAGCAGTGGTTTGGCTGCAGGATTATGGTCACTTCAGCAGTCTGCAGGAACTGTGTAAGTGGGTAATCTCTCAGTGGGCTCCGTATCCAACTGGATATGCCGATGCCTCGAGTGCCAACAGAGCTTTCTAAAAGAAGCCCATGTTGCCCCTCAGCTCTGCTCCTTATTACATAAGACCTGCTGTCCCATTTCCACCCACCATCCTGTATGCACACCACAGGGACATGTCTAAAGGGCCTGAGCAGACTTTCAGTGTAAATATCACAAGTTACAGTTCCTTCCTTCAGTATGTGCACCCATAAATATTTAATCAAAATACACTTTCACTCCTTCATGCATACACACAGACTTTATTTCCTCTATTTCTCCCAACACACTTATCAAAGGGTCGTAAAAATCTGGCACCAGGTCCATATCCCGAGGAGCTACAGTAAGAATGAATATTTCATACTATTACACAACCCCCTCTGTTAGCTAGTCAGCATAACCCAGTGCGACTGCTATTACCCGGCTACGTGAGACAAGCAGGAATGCAGCAGCACTTTTATTGTCTCTAGAAGAGCACTTAGCTGTGTCCCCATGCCACAGCTTTTATCATGTCCCCAAAAATATGCATCCAGGACGGGAGGGAAGTGACTTTAATTAGCCAAGTACCCAGACTGAGTGTACAGAGCATTAAGGCCACCTGGTCCGTACAGAGCAAGCGGAAGGCTATTATCCCCTGTGATTTTACTTATTAACCACACTTTAATTTTAATCCTGAGGCTGAGGTGGAGGTGACGGAGAGGA